CTTACACGCCCGGCTCCGGACCGGAGCCCAAGCCTCAGCCCCAGCCCAAGCGGGAGCTAGTGTCAGAACAGGTGTCGGAGCCAGTTTCTGAGCGGGTGCCAAGATCGGAGCCTGAGTCCAAGAAGATGTCGGAGCCCCGGCCAGGCTTCAGACAGGAGTTGGAAGTGCTGCCAGGCTTGGGGACCGGGTCAGGGACGGGGTCAGGACTCCGGCAAGAGTTAGGCTCAAGCGTGGGGGCTGGGCTCTTCACCAAGGCCCCATCCGAGCAGGTCCTGGCGCTGGGGCCAGTAGTGGGGAGCGTGGCCTTGACCAAAGTCGAGTCAGGGTTGTTGCCGGCACCAAAGCCCTCGCGACCGGGACAAATGAAGACTCATCTTGGGGCTCCGGTGACAGGGAGTGGCACGACCTCCTCTGTCCCGATGGTCTTACTACCACTGGACAGCTTCAAGGGCTGGCTTCTCAAGTGGACCAACTACCTGAAGGGCTACCAGCGCCGCTGGTTTGTGCTCAGCAATGGCCTCCTGTCTTACTACAGGTACGAAAGTGTCAGGGTTGGGTGGCTGAGTGTGGAGGGCCAGAATGCTGCAGTGATGGTGACAGAGGGCATCCAAAGTTGGAGGACACCAGCACTAGCCTAGGGACATTTGGGAACATGTACTCCAGCAGGAGAAATAGTGCCTCTGGCCAACCTTCAAGGGCTGAGCCCTGGCTTCTGGTAGGGGAGCCCCTGTGGACATGAGATCTGGCAGCTTGACTTTAGGGAGTGAGCAAAGAGGTGGAGTGAGGGAGAGATTTGGGGCCTTGAAGCCCCTCTGGTCTTCGTAGTTGTGGGACCTGGGACAGCTAGACAGAGTCAGTCCCCCAAAGTTCCTGATTCAGGAGCTTTCTGGTTCAGGAACTGAGGTCATTGTATTAGGGACTGAGGGAGACAGTACCCTTGTTTAGTCCTTGGGACCCACTTGTGGGAAGGGCTCCTGTCCCCTCCTTGGCTGATCAGACTGTTTCCCACCTTTCCTGGTGCCTGCTGGTTGCCAGGTGGTAGAGAGGGGCACAGCAGACTCACAGCTGTTTCAGACTCAGCTCTGCCCATCAGGAGCCCATCTTGGTATCTTATGAGAACCGGCAAGTGTCCCACCATGGACTTTCTCAGTCCAGAAACAGTGTGGGATTCAAAATTGAAGTCCAGTGGTGATAGTTAACACTGAGATTGATTGAAAGGGGGAAAGAGACCGAAGGCTTCCTCTCCTTTCCTACTGGCCATGGCCTCTGTATGTTTCCTGGGGATGGTTGGTTTAAACTTTGAGATCTCAGATCACTCACTCTATACCGTGGATTCTCAAACCTGAGAGAACAGAATTCCCTGATGGGCTCGTTGAGATGCCAAACGCTCTGCCCGCCTTGTTGAGTTTCTGCTGCAGTGGGTCTCGAAGGGGCCTGTGATTCAGCATTTCTAACAAGTTCCCAGGTAATGCTGCTCTGGACCACAGTCTGAGAAGCATGGCTCTGTTGTCATTGCAAACAGGAGGGCCCTGCCTTGCTGTTGGCTAAAACTCAGGTCACTTTGCCCAGGTCACTTGGCCAGGCAGTATCTGTTCAGGTCACCCACAGAGGATTTATGTGGTCCTTCATAGCCTTTTTGGAAACACAGCTTCTAGAGGATCGTTCAGTCTATGACTCCCTGAGAATTTGGGAGCTCCACTGAACTTAAGTGATGGTTCCCACTCCAAAGGGGGGATCACTGTCTTTAATTCCCAGCAGGAGAGAAAGCTGATCTGTGTTTCTTTTCTTTTAACAAATATTTTACTTAATTTGTTTGTGGGGTTTTTGTTTTTGTTTTGGAGATGAAGTAATTAGGTTTATTTCGTTGGTTAGTTATTATAATGGAGGTACTGGGGATTGAACCCAGGACCTCACACATGCTAAACACGTACTCTAACCACTGAGCTATGCCCTCCCTCCTTGACCTGTGTTTCTAATGTGTCCGTCCTATCTGGTGTCTTGGTACTCCTCAGCCCACTCAGCTGCACAACACAGCTCACAGAACATAGTGTTTTAGGGGAAAAAAATACTTTTCCAAATGTGTGTTTTTAATCCCACTTACCATACTCTTTCAGATATGTAGACATTTTACGAAGACACACGGTGTTAGGGATCATCAGTGGTTCACTATAAGTGTCACTCTGTCTTCTTAAAGGCAGGGGGCATGACAAATAAGGCATGTCGGCTATGCACCACACTCTCGGTTTTATGTTATGGTCCTTTATTTCATCCTCACAACCACACTATGAAATGGGTTCCAGGATTATTCTCTTGTACAAATGAAGAGTTCTGAGGTTGACAGGGGGACATGGCTTGTCCAATGTCACTGGCCCAGGGAGGCAGTGGAGAGAGATTCTGACTTGGGCCTCTCGTGCTCCACAGTCTCTGCCTGTCCCAGATGTGTGTCCTGATGCCCACTTGTCCTCGAGTTCAGCTTTTCAGAGTTATCTGTATTTTACCGGATACTATACCCTGTAAGGGTCCAGGTAATGTTTATGAGTATAGGATCCCACAGTGGCAGGAAGGCCTAGTTCTAGTGGAAGTAAAACCTGACCTCATGCATTTTTGTTTTATTTTAATTGGAAGAGCAAAATGTCCCATCTGTTTTTTTTCTTCTTCAGGTAGCTAGGTATAGATAATAGATACTTCGAGGTAATCTCAAGTGTGCAGAATGTCTAGGTAACTAAGAAAAATTCTTGCTTGCTGATAAGATTGTGGAGACAAATACTGGTTTGGGGGGGAGCAGGGTGTGGGGACAAGTTTTCTCGTGTGTGTGTTTGCACAGTCCAGCTCTGTAGTTGCATTCTTGGACATTTCTAGGTTCCAAGGTGGGCAGAATTGTTGCTTGACTCACTTGAGTGGGACAAAGGATCTGTGACATCTGTGCAGCCCTCTGCCTTCCTTCAGCTCCATGTGAGGCCAGCCATGGAGGGGCCCTCATTCCCATTTTACAGAAAGGGAAACTGAGGCTGAGTGAATGAGCTTCAGTGGCTTATCCCAAGGCACTCAGCTTGCAGACTGTGCCCAAACGTTTGCCCTGGGAGACAAGTCAGTCTCCATACAGAAGGCCCTTCGAGGTGGAGCTGCAGTGGTCCTGTCTCCCCTGCACGCCCGTCTGCCTTCTGGAAGATCCTGTGCTCCGCCTCTCCTCAGATCTCCTAGCACTTCAGACCTTCCACCCACCCTCCTGTCCCTGCTTCTAGTCTGAATCCTGCCTCCCAGACCAGGCCTGGCCATCCTGCCTGCCTGGCTCAAGGGCTGAGCGCCCTCCAGGCCCACGGCTCACAGTCCTGCCAGCAGCGCAGGGTGGGTTCCCTTGGGCTCCGTCTGCGCCCAGTGCCACCCATGTGCTGTCACGTCCCCCCAGCCCCGGACCCCTGCTCTCGGTAGTTCTCCAAGTGTGTGTGGCCGGAATAGAGGCAAATTCAAGTGCTTGCGAGCTGAAAACAGAGTGAGAGAACTTTTATTCCAGATCTCCCTTCCTTAGGGGCTGGGTGGAGTCAGCTTTACCTGCTGGTGCAGAAGGAATCAGAGCCACTTCTTTTGCTAACTTCTGTTTCAGAAAGAACACGCTGTTTTTGTTTTTGTTTTTTTAGACTAAATGAACCCTGATGTTTGGAGAAATGTGGAGAAAATGTGGGTACCTGTTTCTCGTGCTCCCTCCCCAAGCCTGCCCCACTCAGGGATAACCAACATCCCAAATCCATCACCATCCTCTTTCTTTTCTTTTTATCTAGTTTTACCTCATCTACATGCAATTTAAAAGGAAAAAAACACATTTTTTCATTTCAACTATTTTTAGCTTTCTAAAAAAGGATATCGTACAGTATGTGATTTGGGGGGACTAACTTTGACTGCTTCATATCAGCCCAGGATATAGTCTGGAATATTGTGATAGAAGCGTCCAGCAGCTTTGATTATACCATTTATTGAGGGCCAGCAGCGTCACCAAACCACTGGGTGGAGGAGGAGGAGGGAAGCCTGCAGCCGTCCTGGCTGATCAGTAAGAGGCCCGCAGGTTCAGGCAAGGTGTCCTGGGGGCTTCCCAGGGGGCTGAGTAGTCAGGCTGCGTGGAGTCTTCCGGGATGGGGTTGGCAAACTGTCAATAAAGAAAGACAGGCTAGTGAAAAGGATGTGAGATTCCTTAAACGAAGATCAATATCTGCTTATCCTGGGGGAAAAGAAAACGGAGGAAATGGGACCACACTGGATGCTGACAGGAGGAGAGGAGGAGACTGGAGAGGAGGAGATGGTTAGAAACACGCTGAACTAAACCAAAATTGGCAGCTTGACGTGTGGTGAGTCACATACCAGGTGTCACCACACAGATGTGACTTTAAGAGGCTCCCTTCCTAACCATAAACAGGAAGCAGCAGTCAGTGAGTTTCAGGGTCATGCTGGTGCTGTAAGCTTTGACCTTTTCTATGGGAGTCTTTCCCACGTCTGTCTGTTTTTAAGAGTTCTTGGAGTCCTGATGGCTGCGCCTCACTCCTCTCGGCTTCTGATCACACACCCAGGTCGCAGCCCTGTGCATCCAATGCCGGGTTAACAGTCTCAACTCACTCTGTGTGATCTGCATTGCTGGGCCATTGCCTAAACCAAGAAGAGGGCAGGTGGCCTCGCTGAGCTTGCACAGGAACCTGCCAGATTGTGCTGTCCTTGGAAGCAGCAAGAGGTGCTGTCTTCCTAAAAGATAGCACATCGTGCCCCTGGGCTCACTGCCCACTGCCCTTCCCAGTTGGTCCCCCCACCCTCCTTCCTCCAGTCTTGACCTTCTTCTGCGCAACTCGCCTTAGTCCCCCTCTGCAACCCACATGCCTTTCCCTCTCCCATCCAGATCTCTGCCCCTGCCAGTCCCTCAGCGAGGAGAACCCTCCTCACTGCTGCAGACATCCTAGCAGGGCAGCCTCAGTTCCAGGTCATCTCAGCCTGGACCTGCCTGGATTCCCCTGCGATGAGCTGGGCTGGCAGAGCGGTCCGTTCTCTGACAGCTGGGTGGTGGTCCATCTGCTCCCCACCAGCGCATGGGGCTGTGTCTTTTCACTGTGTACTCAGTAGAGTCTCAAATTACAATGAATTTTTTTAAAATAGAAGACATGCTTTGTAATTTTAATCTTTTTTGCATGTCATAAAGACCCAGCGAGCAGCCTGGACTATTGCAGTCACCCAAGGGGAGTCACTGAATTGCCAGGAGAAGGAGTGACCATGGGGGCTACACATGGCCCAGCTTTTCAGCTCCTTTTCTGAGACTTATCCCAAGCCAAGGATGTATGACAGTAGTAAAAGCTCTTTTTTGTATTCATTTACGTTTAAAACTCTTTGTTACCAAGACTTCTAAACATATATCAGAGTAGACGATAGTATAATGAACCCCCATGCACCTGTTACCCAATTTCAATAATTTTTTTAACATTTTTATTGATTTATAATCATTTTACAATGTTGTGTCAAATTCCAGTGTTCAGCACAATTTTTCAGTCGTACATGGACATAATA